GCTGCTGTACCCGAACGGCACGGACGAGCCGCCAGACTACAAGGCGCTGCGGGACCATCTGAGGAAGGAAGGACGCATACGAAAGGAAGACTGCCTAGACATAATAAAAAAGGTGATTGACATAGTGAGCAACGAGCCAAACTTATTGCGGCTCCAAGACCCAATAACCATAGTGGGAGACATACATGGCCAGTACTACGACTTTTTAAAATTGCTAGAAGTGGGAGGAAACCCAGAAACGACTCAATTTCTTTTCCTTGGTGATTATGTGGACAGAGGATCGTTTAGTATAGAAGTCCTGTTACTCCTTTATGCATTAAAAATAAATTTCCCCAATAAGATTTGGTTAATAAGAGGGAATCATGAATGTAGGCAAATGACCTCATTCTTCAATTTCAGGGATGAATGTGAGTACAAATACGACATGGTAGTTTATTATGCCTTCATGGAATCATTCGATACCATCCCCTTATCTGCTGTAATAAATGGAAAATTTTTAGCTGTACATGGAGGTCTTTCTCCACAGCTAGTACTTCTTAATCAAATCTGTTCATTCACCAGATTTCAAGAGCCTCCTAGGTCAGGTATTTTTTGTGACATATTATGGTCTGACCCAATCGATGAAGATAAAGAAGAACATACAATTCAAACAGAGTCCTACTTCCCTAATGACATTCGAGGATGTAGCTACTTCTTTGGTTATAATGCCGCCACAACCTTCCTTGAAAAAAACGGATTGCTCTCCATTATAAGAGCACATGAAGCACAACTCGAGGGATACAAAATGCACCAGACTAATTTAAAAACAGGCTTCCCCATTGTTATAACCATTTTTTCAGCACCAAATTATTGTGACGTGTATAATAATAAAGGAGCTGTGTTGAAATTCGACAGTAACACCCTCAACATACAGCAGTTCAGCTTTTCTCCACATCCTTATCACTTACCCAATTTTATGAATCTGTTCACCTGGTCTCTTCCTTTTGTTAGTGAAAAGGTCACTGAAATGCTTTATTCCATTTTAAACTCCAGTGTGAATCAGTCGGATGAAGGAGTGAAGGATGTTGTGCTTCCTCCAGAAGTACTACAAATTATTAATTACATTGAAGAAAATAATATGAAGCTAGACGAACTCAGTGTGCGTAATGGCGTTGCCGCCACTCACCATACGGTACACGATGAAGGCAACTCCATCGAGCAAGGGGCAGACACACCCTCCTCTCCTCAGGCCAAAGAAGAAGCCCTTTTCAAGGATGGCTGCTTCAACGAGGGGGCACCAAAAAATGGGCAACTTTCAGGCCGGTCTGCTCATGTCGCTGCAGCGGCTACCGCTGCCTCCGCCTCGCTAGCTGGGTCTACTCAGCAGATGGGTAGCCAGGCCGAGCAAGCGGCCCAACGGCTGCACAACGAGGACGCCCAGGCCTCCAAGGAACGATCCGATGCCCTCAGGAAAAAGGTCCAATCGGTTGGCCGTCTCATGAGGGTCTTCAGGACACTCCGCAAGGAAAACGAACTCATTGTGCAGCTCAAGGGATGCAGCCCCGGCTACAGGATCCCAGTGGGCCTCCTCCTGCAGGGCAAGGAGGGCCTGGAGAACGAGCTGGAAAAATTCACAAAGGCCAAGCAGATCGATAGCATAAATGAGAAGCGCCCGCCGAACGAGTAGGGTACAGCGGCACAGTAGCACAGAAGCGGTTTAACGAGTCTTCGTGGACACTGCGTGACCAGTGATGATTATTCCGCTGCTAATCGCTGCACACGCCTCGTGCTTATGTGTGTACTTCCGCGCCCCCTCCCCTTTGCTAATTTAATTTTTTTTTTTTTTTTTTTTTTTTTTTTTTTTCCCTTCCCTTTATGTGTGCGCCCCTGTGCCTTTGCAGGGTGTGCACCTCGCTTCGTTTGACTTCGTCTTGCTTCTTACTACTTCGTCCCGCCACTTTATTTTGTCTTGCTTCTACACTACGTCCCGCTTCTACACCACGTCCCGCTTCTACACCACGTCCCGCTTCTACACTACGTCCCGCTTCTTTTATTTCATTTTGCTTGACTTCCGAGGACACTCTCCTCTGCCGGCGCGCGCAGGCGCACCGCTAATTCGATTTACAAATGTTTGCCCGAGAAATTACTGGGCATGACAAAAAAAAAGTCCTGTGCGATGTGGGTTTCCCCTGATGGGACCACATGCAGAGGGCCAGCTCCCCCAACATGGTAACACCGCGCACACCTATACGTTGTAGGCGTGGATGAACGAGTTGTAGTTCTGCACGGGGATGACCTGCTTCAGCCTGTCGTCTCGATTCGTGCCGTCGTCTGCGCGGGTTGGGGGAGCAGCATGTGTGGAGCAAATGCGTAACGGGCGAATAACATCTGTGCAACGGGTCAGTGAAAACGTAAAACAAAACCGCTGGGCATGCAGCCAACGGCACACTCACTCCATATCTGCACGGGGTGGCGGTCGATGAACATCTTCCCGTCCATGTTAAGGAAACACTTGCGGTATTCATAAAAAAACAAGTAGCTCTGCACATGGCTTGCGTGCCTTGTGTTCAGGTAGTAATTTTTTTTCCGTTGACACAATTCTAAGGACAACTCTGGCTCCAATAATTCGTCTTTTATCTGGTTGATGTTGGCGCGAACATTTTTGTGTCTGTGTCCACTCAGGTGAGTCTTCTTCTGCTGGGGGATGGCAGGGTGGTTCCGCTTTCCTTTTTCTTGTCCACGGGATAAATCTTCATCGGAGTAGCACTGCACGTTTGGAGTTCGCTTGGGGAAAAATATTTCCTCCAGCGGGGAGTACTCATACCGCTTCCTCAACACCATCGCGGGAAGGGGAGAAGTGTGTCTCTGCGCCCGTGCCCTTCTCTGCAGCGGCAAAAAAAAGCAGCAAAAAAAAGCAGCAAAAAAAAGCAGCAAAAAAAAGCAGCAAAAAAAAGCAGCAAAAAAAAGGTAGCAAAAATGGGGCAAAAAATTGCAACAAATTTGCGTCGATTTTCCAACAGAGCAACAACGTGGTTTTACGCGGCATGGAAAAATAATTTTCCAAAAAAAAAAAAAAATGGCTGGTGCAAAAATGACCTTCTAGGGGTCATCCCCACTTTAATAAGGGCAACGCGTACCCACACAAATTTGTATCCCCGGGCAAAGGTTTTCCTTTTTTTTTTTTTTTTTTTCCAGCTGCTTGTTGGACTGCAAATCCACTGCCTCTCTCACGCGGCAGGAACGCATAGTTCTGGCCCAGCTCATCTTCCACGTTAGCGGCCCCCAAAAAAAAAAAAAAAAAAAAAAAAAAAAACACTCCAAGTGAGAACTTTCATAAAGGGGTATATCACCCCACTTCTTTATTCCCCCCTGGCTAAGTTAAGAAGTCTGAACAGTTGCGTTACTTTATGTCACAAGATGGGAAAGAAGAAGTACGTCTACCTGCAGCTGTCGATGAACAGCATCGTGCTGGGCAAGGTATACATCCAACTGTTTGATGATGCAGAAGTGAAGAACTCAGTGGAGAACTTCCTCTCCCTGTGCAGAGGTAACAAGTACCACAGCGTGTACTCAGGGGAACCATTATCATATAAACACTGTATTGTGGAAAAGGTGAAAAAGAATAAGTGTATAAAAAGCGGCTACCTGCGATGCAAAGTCACGCATGATACCAGTGGCCAAATCATCCCTCCCTCGAATCGTAAAAACAATGAAGAAAAGTATGAACAAGTTGAATGTATTTTCGGCCCCAGTTACAAAAAAGAGAATTCACAAAGGAGACATACAAATGCAGGCCTTCTCACCATGGTCCAGGTGGGACCCAAACGTTGCTCCTCTGTTTTTAAAATCACCCTCAATGCTGTTAATAAATATAATGGAAAAAATACAGTCATTGGTCGAGTCGTTAAAAATATGCACATCCTCAGGGCCATCGAGTTGATGCCAGTTACAAGCAATTTCCAACCTAAAGTTTGTATATACGTTTCTGAATGTAATGAGGTCAGTGAGTCTTTCTTCAAAGGAGAGCGCGTTTCCTCCAGGCAGCAATACATTGACAGCCTCTTTGCAAATGCCGCCAATGCTAGCGATGGTAGCAGTGACGACAGTGGGAGCGCTGCGGCAGGCGCGCAGGGGAACCACAAGGACCCCTTCAGGAAAATCTTGGCCAAGGGGAAAAAGGGAAAGACAGACAAGACGGAAAAGCAGAAGGGGGTAGAGCTGCTCAATCGGATCCTGTCCGACATCGACGCGCTCTCCAGGGGGGAGGCACTGCCCAAGGGGGAAGCACTGCATAAGGGGGATGTACTTCATAAGGGGGAAGAATTGCAGAAGGGAGAAGAAGTGCGCACGGTGGACGCAGTGAAGACGACAGATGCAGTGCACAAGGCAGACGCGGTGAAGAAGGCAGACGAGGCGAAGAGCCTCCCGCGCAAAATGACGGACAGGCAGAAGAGGTTCCTCGAAATTGAACTCAAGATAAACCAGTCAAAGGGGCTGAACGAAGTGGAGGCCACGCGGGAGAGGTTGACTGGGCACCTCCCCACGCGAACCACCCCCGCAGCCAAGACAGACGAGTATGCCTGTTACCACTATGAGCAGAATGCTAGTGTTACCAACGCATGTGGGAAGCGGCCAACGCCGGGGGATGGGCCCGGGGACCCACCCATTAGTGATGACGACAAACCCAATGGAGGAGACGACCCACCCAGCAGTAGCGACGACAAAGAAGAAGCCGCGCCCATCTACACAACCAGCGCTGCTCAGGCAAAAAGCGTCTCCAAAAAGAAAAACAAAAAAGACCTGATCGAAGTCGACAGGGATAAAAAATTTTTTAAAAAAATGAAATTCAATTTTTCAATAAACAGAAATATATATGATGAGCAAAAAAAAAAAATGGGAAAAAGTTTTTACGGACACGACTTGTTAATGACAGACGCATCCAAGTGCACCGACAGTGACAAGAATAAGGTCATTAACTTTTGCAGGAAGCAACAGATCGTCCGCTCCACACTCAGTCGTAAAAGAAACAAAGAGAATGAAGTCTTCAAAAATTACATAAACAGGAGGAACAAAATGTATAACAAAAAACTCGACCGCTACTTCAACCAGCACACGGCAGAAATTAGGCAAAACTTGGAGCGCGGCGGGTAGCCCAGCCGTCACCCGGGCTGGGGAGTTAAAAAGAAAAAAAAAAGTAAAGAGGCTCAGATGGGTCCCACCAAATAGGGGGCCTACCCAACAGAGTCAATTCTCCGCTCCGCTGTGGCGTCGCTCCCGCTTCGATCCCGCTACCGCTTCGCTATAGCTTAGCCACATCACAGCTTGCTCCTGTTCTTGCCCCGCTTGAGCGTAAGGATGCGCGCAATCTCGAAGGGGTTCCTGACCAGCGGGGACACGATGTTACCGACCCGGTTGGACAACCGAGGAGCGACCAACTTAGCATGCGCTGAAATGTCATTCACCTCCTTGTTCAAACTTATGTTTAGCGTTTTTTCATAGTCCTGTTTGTCGTAAGGATAAGGAACCTTGTCAATAAAATATTTTTCAAATTTTCTGTCCTTCCTGTTGAACACACTAATGGTGTGAACTGGAATTTTTTTCTTTTTTTCAATGATCTCCTTCTCCTTCATAATTTTGTTTTTCTCCAATTCGAGTAATGTTTCGTAGTTGCACCATTCCCTTTCGCTCACCCGCTCCGTGGTGACTCTTTCATCTTCGCTCAACTGAAACAACTCATCATCCTCCCTCGGGATGTCCCCATTCCCTGCATCTGCATTCAAATTAACATAATCTTCATACACCCCATTCTCAAAATTGTACACGGAAAGATCCTCCCCCAAATTCTGCAGCACCGACCCGTCGTCAATCGCGTCAATCGCGTCAATCGCGTTGACGTCGCGCAGGTCCCCCGCGATGGGTGTGTCTTCCTCCGGTGGGTTCTCCCCCAGTGTGTTCTCCCCCCCGATGGATGCGTTTTCACCAGTAGGGTTGATCCGGGGAACTAGGCCGGATGAATTCTCCAACAGATCCACACCAAGTGCACTCTCCTCGGTGGAGTTGGCCCCTAGTTGCCCCTCCTCTGTGCCCAAAATACCGCCCTTCCTCAAAGCGTTCACCAAGTCGGCGTCTCTCGCGAGCTGCGCCCTGGCCTTGGAGGCCTCCTTCGCGCTCGACCTGCGCACTTCGTGTGACAGACCCAAATCGAGACGACCCCCCTCAACGCCACTGCCCTCATCAGAGGAGGTGTTCGTCATGAGATCCTTGTCGTCCTTCCTTCGTTGCATCTTATCTAGCAGCCTCTTCCTCTGTTCATACAATTCTTCGTCCCGCTTCCTTTCCTCTGCGTTTCTCACAAAGGAGAATCGTTCGAGGTTCCTTTTTTGTAATTCCTTCCTGACTTTGTTCTTTTTGGTCAGGCCGGATGATGTGTTGATTTGGTCATCGGGGTTACGCCCTTCCTCACCCATGCTGCGTCCAGCCTGACCAATGCTGCTTGCCTCCTCCTCATCAGTGCCAGTCCCCCCCCCGTCCTCTTCCTCCACAACGGCCCTCTCGATGATCCTCCGCAGCACGTTCTTCTCTTCCTTCTCCGCCTGGAAGCTCCGCAACATCTGCTTCTTCAACTCCTCATTCTTGTACCGATTGAGCAGCCTCACGGTTTTCCTCTTGTTCACATTATTTATTAAGTTCCTTTTCTGCGCGTACTCTTTTTCATAGAGGGCCAGATTTTGTGCCAGGTCAGGGTCTTCCGAGTGTATCTTGGCAAAAATCTTTTCCTCCTCCTTCTTCTCCTTCATTCGTAAATGACGACGGTAGGACTTGGACTTAATCCTCTTTTTATATTTGTTTTTTTTTTCCTCCTTGAGTAACAATGCTTTCAGCTGAGCAATTTTTTTCAGCTCGTCCCTTTTCTTCTCCCTCTCGGTCTTCAACACGTCGTCCGACACGATGAGCATTTTTGACATTCGCAAATTTTTCTGCATCTCGGCTTCGAACTGTAGAGCGGTCAGGGAGTCTTCGCGATTGCCGACCGCGCCACGTCCCTCGCTGCGTTCATCGCGGTCCCCTTCGCCCCGTCCTACTTCATCCTTTCCCTCCGCCACACCACCTCTCCTTCGGAGCAGGCTCTTGTTTAGGAACTCCTCTGAGTTGACCTGAAGCGGCCCATTCTTCCCGCCCTGCCCAAAGTGCACCCCCTGCGCGTTATTTATAACGTAAAAAGATTTGTTCATTTTATTTATTATATCAACATTGTTCACGTAGGCCAAGTGTTCATTTATTTTCTGTTCCTCCAGGACAGACATGTGCCTCAATGCCTTCCCTTTCTCAACTGTTCCCCTCTTGAGCATATTAATATCTTCACCTATTTGTTCTGCACACACACCATCTGTGTATATGAAATCGGCAAGGTCTACTCGTTCAAGTGGCTTTTCAATTTTGTACACGTCGCCTTTCTGCGACATGTATTGATACGACTCTGCCTCCGCGTCTTCCGGAGGGAACCCATACCCCTCCACTTCTTCATTGTCCTGCCCACGATATTTTTTCCTCTTCAGGAATCCCTCCTCCTGGTAATTATATTTCCTCAAAAATGTTATGAGGTTTGCCGAGGGGTCGCTCTTCTTGCCCATCCCCTTGGTCTTCATTTGTTTGTCCTCCTCTAGGATAACGTCCTCTCCTTGGAACAACTCCAACCCGTCTGCGTCTTCTTCTTCATCGGGTGCTTCATCGGGTTCGTCATCAGTGGGGTCCTCCTCTTCCGTCTGCCCCTTTTTTTTCTTCCCCTGTTTCCCTTTGGCAAGCTTCTTCCCTTTGCGCTTTTCCTTTCGCTTCCTCTTTTTGAGGGCCCTCCTGCTGTCACCACCGCAGTCGTCGTCATCGCCACTGGCATTATTAACGCTGGCCCCCTTCACTTGACTCATTTTTTTCTTTATTGTCCCCTTGAGGGAGGGGATTTTCCCCTTTTCTATTAGCCTGGCCATTTTTATCGCTGCAGATTTTTTTGCAAGGCCGTCCTTATGGCGCTTCTTCTTGAGGTCCCCGCCGCCCATCTTCTTCGCCTTGTTTTTTTTTTTCTTCACTCGCATCTCTGCCAACCCCCCATTGAGCGTCGTCGACGCATCCTCGAGGTGGTCCTCCATTGATTATTCCCCCCGTTCGCTGCGATCCTCTGCATAAAAGGTATACTTATTATGCGCGCTTAAATGTTGTTACCTCGCGCGTCTGGTACACGTTTCCGGACGAGCAATCCTCGTCTCGCAGTGTCACGCTGGGGCAGGCGAAGCTGCGGAAGGGCAACAAAAAAAAAAAAACATCACAGCAACATACAATCTCTAGCTAAGGGGAACTATATATATATATATAAAAAAAAAAAAAAAAAAAAGCAAAAAATAAAACAAAAACAAAAAAATAAAATAAAAAATATATTTATTTAAAATAAGAAAAATATGCTTACATTTAATTGTATTGTAGGAAATTTGGTGCCAACACGCAGCCGATTTTTTCAACTCGCGCGAGTCGGAAACCCCGATTTTGGACCGCATGCAGGGGGAATGACCCCAATCCATATATGATGCTGTTGGAGGCATCTCATTTTGTCGCTTATGCCACGTGCTCTTCCTGTAGATGCGGGAAAAATTCACGAAGAAAAATTTTTGTTTCGTTCGCCTCTCACAAAATGTACCTGTCGCGTTGCAATAAGGAAGCAAAAGATTTGTTAAAACGTTTAAGCTTCTTAAATGAGTGTAGCACCAAGACGTGCGGGGCGAGTTGGTGAAACAACGAAAGACCGCACGTGAGCAGCATGGGAAGAGAACGGGTGCCAGGCATACCATCTTATAAAAAGGATCAAACGGAGAGAATGAAAACCCACCTTGTACAAAAATTGCGCAAACGGATTGTAAAAGTAACATATGTTTTGTAGTTAGAAAAAATATATACATTCCTTGAGGGGAAGAACCGCTACCCCCACTTTTGTGTGTACTTCCTCTTAGCAACGACGTCCTGCACGAGAGAAACCTCTGAGTCCTCGGGGGGGAAGCTTTTCTCCACCGCGCGCTTTACGCCATCCCTCTAACATTCAGCAACGGCACAAAGAGTGTTGGTAGAAGAAGACGGCTAGTCCGAAAGACAGCAAAAGAGAAAAGAGCAGTGAAGAGATGCGAAGTGAAGCGAAGCGAAGTGAAGCGAAGCGAAGCCCACTTGCATCAAGTCAAACATATCATGAGTAAAAAAAAAAAAAAAAAAAAAATTAATCTGATCATACAAACGCGAACAAATTCAAGTCATCCACATGGATGCAAAAAAAAAAAAAAAAAAAAAAAAAATAATAATAATCTAACGAGTTACGAAAAAAATTAAAAATAATTATAGCACTGGCAGATATAGTCAGGCGTGATGGACGAAGCAGATCGAGCGCAGAGGTCAATATGTGTGTTCGTCCACTCTGCCTAATTCGAATTTATCAGACGCAGTGAGTCCTGCAGGGCCTTCGTGTAATGGTTCACCGCCTGCACGATGTCATCATCGGCCGCCTCGCGCGCCTGCGACTCCAGGATAAGTCCATTCTTTATCGTTGCTATTTCCTCCATGACGAAGGTCTGGAAGTTTTCATTTTTTCCCTTCCTCTCCCTCTTGATCTCCTCAATGTAGGAAATTATTTCCTGGTACTTGCTGTCTCGGATGTTCTACGGGGAAAGTACAAAAAAGGAACAGGGTTAGAGGGGGGTGTTAGCGCGGCCAGCCGCGCACACGTCGCACACGTTGCACACGCTTCCTGCGCACACATCGCGCAGTGTCCGACTCACCTTCTCCGTGGCGATGCGACTCTCCGACTTGCGCTCGAGCTCCTCCAGCTTCTTGCAGATGCTGCTCTCCTTCTCCTTGTTGCTCGCCTTGTCTTGCTGAAAGGCGGCCTGCAGGTTGGAGAAATCACGCGCGATGCTGTTATTCCGTTTTTCCAAATTTTGAACACACTTCATTTTCTCACTTTCTATGTTACTGGCAATGGTGTCTACTTTATTGTCTAGAGCTTTTATCGCTTTTTCAATTTCCGCAACCTTGTCCTTTACAACATGCTCAATTTTCTCCTGCACCTTTAATATCTCGGAGGAAAAAATACTTTGAATCGCTCGGTTATGTTCAATTCGTTTCTTAATTTCGTTGTTCAAATTTTTTTCTAATTTATTTATGGCTTCCCTGATCACAAATATTTTTTCCTTCTCCACATTTTTCTTTTGTAGAATTTCATTTTTTATTTCCTTTTCAAATCCTTCAATTTTTTCACACAAGCGTTTAATTTTTATCTTTGTGTTGCTGTTGATGCACTTGCCTTTAGCTTCGATGGACCTCTTGGTGACTTCAGCGAACAGGAGTCCTCCTCCGCCTCGGTTGTCACTGCACTCATCACCACAGTCTGCGTTACCGTCAGCGCCACCGCCAGCACCACCGCCAGCACCACCGCCAGCACCACCGCCAGCACCACCGCTGCTCCTAGCCGCCTTCTTCAAGCTGCACCCCAGACTAGGATTCCTCTGAACCTTCTCCCTATCGCTGCGCAGCTTGGCGGGATTGAAGAAAGGGCCTTCCTCCTGGTAGGTTGTACTGCTAGCGTGCGTCCCCGCACTGACATGCGTCCCCCCACTCACATGCGTGCCTCCACCCATACTTAACTTTAATGCAGATTTACTCATGACTCCCTCCACAAAGTCATCCCTCTTCAACATGCTCCCCCCTTCACAATAATACAAAATGTCATTCTTAATCAAGTTTAGCGATTGGTTGAAACTCCTCCTGGTACCACCAAAAGTGTTATCTTGCAGAGGGGAAATGTGTTTCGCCTTGTACGCCCGCATCATCCCTTCCCTAGCACTCTTCTCTTGTGCACCCTTTTTTGTTTTGTGTTTGTTCACGCATACTCTGGTTTGAACTTTCCGTAGCTCGCTGTTCATGTCGGTGCTCAAGTTGCTGCTTCTCATTTCGTCCTCACTTAGGAAAAATTCGCTGCCGTTACGGATTAGGCTTTTTTCCTTTTTTTTTCCTTCACCTTTGCCGTACAAGGGGGCGTTCCTCCCTCCAAAGTAGTCCCCAATGTTCGCGCTATCATTCCCTTTGTCATTGCTGCTGTCTTTACTGCTCCCTTTGCTGCTGTCCTTGCTGCTTCCCTTGCTCATGCCTCTCTCACCTCCCTCAGGGTGATCATCGTCATCGTCGTCCTCAAACTCCTCGTCCAACTTAAAATTACCCGCGCTGCCCCTTTCTCCTGAACAGAAGGTACTCCCTTTTCCGCCCTTACCAAAATTGTGCATGCTCTCCCGGCTATCGTAGCAGGACAGGTTGTCGTCCGACTTCTTCTGAGACTCACTGTCCCTTCCGTTTCTGCTCGAGGGATCGTTCGTGTCAAACATTTTTTTTTCTCGTACGGGTGGTGAGTAGTTCTTCTCTCGTTGGTTGAGCACCCTCCCTGCAGTGGCAACATCTATTTGGTTCTCTCACCCCACGATCTCTCTCCTCGTGTAGCGATGCGTGTGGTATTGGCTCCTCCCTCTACACCTTCTTCAAAAAAACCTTATCCCCTAATCCGTGCAACACGTGCTTATCACCACTGCAGCTGCTTATTTTTATTTTTATTTTGTCCCCCTACGAGTGCACGTCAAATTGGCAAAATTTTTCGCTGGATGATCAAACAAGGGGAACCGATACAAACACAAAGCAGTGTCTGTAAATATATGTGCGTCAAAACTGCACAAGTCCAGACTCCTTCCCACACATGGAAATGAGTTCACATGAGCACCCTCCAAGGGTAACTTACGCTCAGGTGAAAACGCGCCGCTAACTTGTGTTTGTTGGAAGTGCCCCTAAATGACTGAACTACACTCATAGGGGAAGGAAAAAAAAAAAAAAAAAAAAAAAAAAAAAAATTGATCAACGTGTGGATGCAAAATGGGGCAATCACCTGGACACGAACAGTTACACGCTGTCTTATCGCAAAGAAAAAAAACGCAAAATAAAACAAAAAAAAAAAAAGGTAAAAAAAACACTTAAAAAAAAAGGAAACAGCTTTCACTTCAAATGAACGGAAAAGAATTGTTTTTTATTTTTTTGGCCGTCTTTTTTTTTTTTTTTTCATTGTCATAGCTGGCATGGGTGAGTCCCAATTCGTGCACAGCACACGCTTACCCATGTATTTCTGTGTTTGGTAGGCCCCGGGGAAGGCAAACACTCAACCACGCAGGGACATGCAAATGTTCGTATGCACAACAGGACGATCAAATTTGTTTGCCACTCCTCAGTAACTTGAAACATGCACGTATCACTCCTCTAGGGGTGCAACAAAAATGTCCAAGTGAAGCACCACACGATTAGTCAGTCATACCAAAAAAAAAAAAAAAAAAAAAAAAAAGTGATAATCCAAAATGACACTTGCATACAGCTAACATAACTTCCCCTCTTGTCGCTAATCTGAACAGAACAGTTGCAATTTTTTTGCGAAGCATGTGTCTTCGGGTTGGGCAGGAGAGGCCCTTCGCGAGAATTCCAGCGCTTGCCCCATGTGTGCACATGTATGTGCGTGCAGAACAGCACATGGCGTGTAGCGCCAACTGTGTGCCGTCCTTCCCCATTCGAATGTGTCACTTCTTCCCCTTGTGTGACTTGCAGAAGTTGTAAAAGGTGTACGCGCCGCTTTATCATTAACACGCCAGAGGGGGAAAAGCCACCTAAGGGTGTGTAAGACCGACCGAGCGGTTTAGTGATCTCCTCATACGGAAAACAACTAGGTTACTCTTCACACAAAATGAATCGGGTGAAACACAAATGGACATACCTTATACTTAAGCGGAGAAGGCTGCATACGTATATAACCCTCCTGTGCGCAACCACTCAAGGGGAAAGTGCAGAGAGCCCTTGACTAAATCGGATCGGCATAGCACCCGGGGAATAAACCAGACAAGGCAACGTTCATTTTTCGACTTTTCCCTTTCCTCTTCCCCTTCCCTTAATGGATCATTCCTTTCCAATTTAGCTTACACTACAGTATGTTCTTAAAATCGTGCTGTGTTTTCTTATCCAACGGAGCTACTATTTTTTTTTTTTTTTTCCCTCCCCCCACCGCTACTCCTGCGTTTCCTGCAACTATGGTGCACAGACATATGTGCATGTGAGCAACGCATTTCTCCTCATCAGTTCAGAATACATTCGACGTGGAGGTCTTAAGGGTGTTGCAAGCTTTCTCCCTATCCGCCATTACGTACATGAAGTGAGGGTTGCCAAATGTGGTTATAAAACAGAGACGCTTTAAAAAAGGTGTGGAAGCTTGAATGTATTTTTTTTTTT